CGCTCCAGTGACATATCAACCTTGCAAGTGTCATATCAACCTTCCCCATTCGTGGTTTGCATATCATCAATTCCCACTGTACGAGGGATTACTTCAGTTTTGGTTTCATTGGTTTCACAGCGGCAAGAAGGTTTAAGACTGCAAAGGGTTGATTTATTTGATTGATTTGCGGGGGTTTAGCGTTTCAAAACCATCATATGATGATGAGAGACGACGCCGTAGTGGAGGGCTCCGGAAATTTTCACCACCTGGGGTTCTTGAACGTGCACCCAAATCTGAGCATACGTGCCTACAACATTTCCGCCTCCATCGGAAATGCAGTGCAAAGGGTTGAAGAGCCCTGAAAAATTCTGGTGCCGACGGCGGCATCAGCGGCGGTTCTTGTGAGCGAAAAACATCAATGGAGGCGAAGAATTGGAAGCTGGTTTCTGAGCTGGAATTGAACCCAATGGCATTTTTTATCACAGCAGAGTAAGAGCTTGAAACTGCTTCAAGAAAAAATGCTGTACATACAGGAGCAATGTAGAGCGACCATTCCCGAAAGCCGGTGTAGTATTGCGTGGCGTTAAGTCACATCATACGATTTACGTAACGTGTGGCGGTAAAAAGGCCACCTATCACAAAGCACTCAGACATCACTGATAATCACGACCTTCATCATCATCAGCAGCAGCATAAGCAGGAAAGTTTGCAGCTGAGTAAGTGAGCGTATACTTCCCTAAGAACGCCTAATAGGCACATCGCTACTTCGTAAACTGATTATACATCGCGTATGGCACGCTTCGGAGAAACTAGGGACGAATCAGAAAATGGTGGGTATAACGTTATTTCAGTAAAACTTGTAGCTGGGCGAGTTAGTTGATAATTCTGGGTAAACTGGTGTGTGAAATTGCAGACAAACTACAACAGAAAAGATGAGACGGGGACAAACGCGAACTTTCAACTGAATTTACTTCGTCATGCTTCATATATATAGTGACATACAAGAAAGGCAAGCTCTCTTACGGTCAGAACCAAACATCTTACTGCAGGCCGCACAAAAAATCACGCTTACTATAAAATAATGATGCTAACGTATCACTAACACAAGTGTTACCTGTGGCAGCGATATAAAAGGCTTCCATTATATGCATCGCATTTCCCACGACCTGAAAAAGATAGCGGGTAGGCACGGTGCGCGGATTGTGTTTTCCACCCCACGTAAGCTGGCTGGGCTTTGTCCCAGAATCTGCTCTGGCGAGAAGAGATCCAGTGGTTGCGGAAAGAAACACTCATTTGTGTATGTGAAATTTGCGACTGGCATCGCCAACGAAATACCCCTGTCTTGTGGGAAATGTAAGGTAGGTCATACGGGGCGTTGTGTGAACGACCGTGCAAGGGAACACGAGCTTTCACTTAGAAATAACGGGATCACGCATTTGCCCACGCACTGCAAAGCTTGCAATGGCTCACCGATTTTCTCAGAGATTAGGGTTTTGGCTCGAAGTGCTGATACCACAGCCGGGAACTGATGGGAGCCTTTTATATTGCTGCAAGAGGTAACACTTGTCTTAGTGATACACCAATATTATTATTTGATAATGAGCGGGATTTTTTGCCCGGCCTGCTGTAAGATGTTTGGTTCTGACCTTATGACTACTTGAATTAGTTTTATGTGACTATATATATATGAAGGATGACGAAAAAGTAAATTCAGTTGAAACTTTGCACTTGTACCTGTCTCTTCTTTTCTGTTGTCGTTTGTAAGCATTTTCGCACACCAGTTCACCCAGAAGTAACAATATTTGGCCGGTATGCAGTAATGCGCATTATTAAAGAACAAAACATGAATATCTGAACATGTGACATTCGTGTTGATATTAAGATGCAGAAATAAAACGAAACCTATAGAATATGCACCTCTCATAAAATTATAATGATATGTAGGGTGTTTCATTCCAATACAACGATATCATTGAGAGACGCCGACGTGGAGGGCTTCAGAAATTCGACCACGTGGTGTTCTTTATCGTGAGCTGACATCTCACAGCACATGGGCTTCTACCGTTTCGCCTCCATCGAAATGCGACCACCGTGGCCGAATTCGAACCCACGACCTTAAGGTCAGCAGCCAAGGTGGACAGGTTATGCAATTCTCAGAGCTTGTATTTTGTCGCTTGTTATGCTTACATGAATTATATCACAGGAACACGCACCGATGGTGCCGCTAAAGTATAGCTGGGGTGAGGAAACTTAGCCCACCTATGCGATTCGGCACGAGAGTATAGCGTAAGAATGTTGAAATTAGCATTTGTCCTTTGCTCTAAACATGCATGCTGACAGTAATGTTCATGAATGTCATTTAAAACAGTCTGTAGTGGAAGTTCATATATTTTGGTGCTTCTAAAGCATAAACGCTTTCCCCCCCAAAACCCATAATCATGACATGTGTTAGCTTTTGAAAATGGGCGGTTATTCTTTTTTACTTAACTGCCTTTCCAGTCTCATGTAGAGACCAGATGGGAACGGCGTCCTGCTCTAAACTAACATGCATGGAAAACCCTTTACAATCACATTCCAAGAGTGCGTCAAAAACACCATCTCTCTCAGGAACTTCTATAACAGATAAACATGAGTCATTTCTCGGAATTTCGAAAAACGAGATAACTGTGCATGCTTTGCCCGGGACTAACTTTCAAATTAAAATTATAGGTATTCGGCAAACACATTGCGCTCTGGGGCGCGTGCATCGGGGGTGAACAATGCTTTACGCCGGAGCGCATGGGCTGAACTTGACATTTCTATTCGCTCATATATTGGCAATGGTTCTTATCTTCATCAACAGAAATAACTCTCTACTCCCAATATTGTGTGCATGAGGCTCACAATGGAAGCCAAAATGATGAATTCCTGTGCTGTACGTAATGAAATCAGGCGCTCGACACGTGCCCATTGCATAAAGCCTTCATGGGAATCGGAGCGAAACGAGGCAATAAAAAAAAGACACCAGTTTACGTTTTCATTTTCTTGTTCAGAACAATGGATAGCACTATTCATCTGACGAATTCGCATTATGGCATTCATCTTGCCTATTTATATCAAGGTTCAGTTATGATTCAAATATTTCGCTCAAAGTCTTCACACATATAGGCGTGGACGATTGCCAAAATTGGTTCGTGATTGATTGATATGTGGTGTAACGTCCCAAAACCACCATATGATTATGAGAGACGCCTTCGTGGAAGGCTCAGCAAATTTCGACCACCTGGGGTTCTTTAACGTGCAAAATTGGTTCGTGAGGCATGCAGCGAGCATGTGTGTTATTTGCTTAAGCATAAGATTCGTCATTTACTTTCAGGCTGTGATCTTTCAGTACAAGTCAGGAAAGTTTTTTCGTCGGCAAAAAACATGGAACTTATACTCCATCAAAAAATATGTATTTTGCATCTAGAAGTCCGTAGTAACTGAACGACGTTACAATCACAGAACGCTCCAGAATCAAAAGTTGGCGAGCGAACATTTCTTCTGGGGTATCAGATCAGTACAAAGTAAGAATATCTCACGCCAGTCTCACTTTCTTTGGGAAAGTAGTGGCTCTATCTAAAAGTCTACAATGTTTTTAAACATGTATCGCATAATCACGGGAAACTTGTAAAGAAGAATTATTCCTTAGCGCAATCGTTTGGTATTATAATTTTTTCCCTGTTGTCGTTACTAATAAGTATCCGCCACTATCCAGAAAAGTATTATTCTCGTAGAGCTTCTGGTATTCGGATGGAGATAAAGCCGTGCAACCAATGATGATTTACGCAGACCAGAAATATGTACGAGGGATGGTATATGGAGGGATGGTGAAGCTTAAAGTCAGTCATATGTTGTGTTGACAATATATCTGACGGTGAAATTACCTAAATCAAGACCCTCAGTGAAATCTTGAGAAAGGCACTGCAGGCCATTCAATTTTTAGATGCGAAGCAGCTTTTTTATTAGCCTGTGTAACGCTGTCCCTCCGTCCGCACCGCGCCCCTCGCCACAAGTGTTGGAGCGGGGTGGCGAAGGGAGTAGTGCGGACGTCGGTGTTGACGTTGCCATTCGTGTTCGCGAACGGCGACGTCCACACAGACGAGGCGCGAGCCTGGGGAAGCCGAAGGCAAGCGTTGTCAGTGGAACACCAGCGACACCGACGAGGTGCAAATCAACAACACTTATCACGTTCGAGAATACAGACGGCGCACATGTAACACCAGTCGAGACTTAAGCCAAAAAATCCGAGCGCAAGCGTCTCTGGTGTCTTTTTCGTTTCAAACAAACATTTATTCAAGTAAACGCTACAACAATTTTCGCTTCATACGTTCTTCCCGCACCCGCGTCGACGCCCGTTTCAACCGGGTCAACGCCGTGCGCACCGCTGCTGCTTAGCATCCGGGTTCCGTTCGGAGAGATGATTCATAGTCGCAAATCATTTTCTCAATTTGCATTTTCGCAGGACTAGTTGAACACCGTTCTCACACATCTTCTTCATTGAACTTGCGCATGGAAGCAACGTTCTGTGCCCTTAAATATTTTTTAGTTTTTTATTTATGGTGTGCAAGCTAACTATAGGCAGTTTTAAAATATGACGACACGCACAATGAAAACGTGGCGGAATGCATGCTGCTGACTATTGCATGAAGTAAGCCAGAATAATTTATGAGTGCCATTTTATTGCTTAGTTAAGTATACTGAAATGTTTTGCCCCGCTTCATTGCTTCAAAAATTGGTTAGTCAATTTTACCAAATCGATCAATGAAGCAGAAAGTGTGGGACTTCCTCTATGAATAGTCAGCAAGATGCATTTGAGCGCGTGGTCACAGAGTGCGACGGCATATTTTTAAGCTCTGGCTAGAGTTAGGTGGGACATTTTTTAGTATATTTTAGACTGTCCAACATGAGAAATTCACCAACACACGTGACTTCACGGTTGTCGAGAGCCCTTAGAAGCCAAAAAAAGGAAACGCAAGAACAGAGCCCCGGCTGCTGACCTGATATCCGAAGTGGCGCGTGTCCCAGTCTGCGAGCAGCGCTGTGGTGGCCAGCAGGCCGGCTGAGGTCACCGGGCCCATAAGCAGAGACGCCAGCTGCTTCAGCGGAAGAAGGACGTGTAGCAGGAAGGCAGCCACAAAAGCTGGGGCCAGGGGGTCAACCAGCGAGATGTGCTCTTTGGCCACGGTCCAGGCGAGTGTGGGGCCAGCCAGCAGCAGCCAGCCGAGAAGACCAAGTGGTAGCGCCCAGCGCCTCAAGAGCGCCTCGGCTGGCACCAGCGCCAGCAGGACCAGCACCGCGAGCGCTGCCAGCAACGCCGCGCTAAGCACCACGAACCGCCGTAGGTCCTGAGCGAAGTCCTGCGTCCACGTAACGTTAGGAGGGTGTTAGTCTCCTGACAGCCATGAGAAAGCGTTCTAGATTTTGCTAAAGATTGTTGATGCAATATCACCTGGGCAAAAAGGATGCTGTTCAAAATCACAACTAGCTCGGCGGACCTTGCTAGCACGTCTTTAGCATTTGCTTTATGCCTTACGTCATCATATTGCTCACTGTCTTACAGTTGGGCTGATTATGTGCTAATACTTTTTAAAAGGTTCAACTACCTTCTTAATGATAGCATACTACCACGGGGTCACATTGACAACATTTAAATGAGGTGCATAGCAGTGAAATTCAGTTAGTTTCAACTATATTCAACCTTTCCTGACTCCCACATTTCTACAAAAGTTGGTCACACTAAACCAATGAGTCCTAGCCGTAGACCTTATTGCAAGAACTAAAAGTATGCCAAATTAACTTAGTTTGCTATGTATAGTGCATATCCGTGCACGGTTTCAAGTAAAGTTCAACAAAGATGTGCGGCTACTCGAACAAAAATACGCGCATATGCACGTTTGCTGGCGTCAAATTTGCACACGTGGCAATAACACTGAGTCAGTCGCAAGCCTCGACACAGCTCACACACGAAAATCAACTTCTTCGACTTCCTCCTAGTAGACGCTTTCCTTCTAGACTATGCACTGTTATAACGTCAGTGAAAGCCACACAAGACAACTCCTGACGGCAAAAGTGCCGACCAGGCGCGTCTATCGGGCCACATTAGGAGGATGGTGGTAACGCTTCAGCCTTGGTATGCGGAAGACATGACGGCATAACGGAGGCGACATTGTTGTGAGATTGCCCGGGACGATTTCGTACGTAACACCTGTTACTTGTCGAATAACGCAGTGTGGGCCCGTGAAACGAGAATGTAGCTTCTCAGAAAGGCCGGCACATCGCGTTGAGGACCCTAGAAAAACGAGGGCAGCCACTTGAAGTCGTTCATCAAAATGTTGCTCATCGTAACGGTGATTTTGTCTTTGTATAGAAGTCATCAGTTTGTTGCGGGTAAGTCAGTAGGAGCAATATCATCGTGAGCGTATTTTGTGTTCGACTCTGCAGAAGCCGACAGGAACGTATCTAATGGCAACGTTGGTTCGCCTCCAAGCCATAGGTAAAACGGCAAGTATGCAGCAATTTCTTGCCGGGAGGAGTTGTACATAAACGTCTAGTATGGACGTGCAAGACCACAGTCACGGTGATTGGGCTACACATTTTTTGGAAGCATGCCTGTTAGGATTCGGTTTAAACTCTCGTTTAAGCGGTTTAAGCGCCCGTTTGTCTCTACAAAGGATACAGAGGCATCGTTATTGTTCATAGTACAGAAAATCCAAAACAGGAACATGTTAGCAAATTCCTGGTGGTCGGCGGCCTGGATCAAGGGGACATTGGAAAACGGTTTCTCCGTCAACGTTCGTTTGTTTGCAGCCAGCACACAGCCCTGAGTTTGTGTCAGACGATGCGTTCACTTGTTCAGGTGTAGACGGCTGACAAAGGCTTTCCTTGCAAGACGAAATGGCAGTGGTGTTGTGGAGATGCAACTGCACGGTGCGAAATGCGCCAATTGTTCGCTTGCTCCAGGTGGCGACACTCCTTAATTATGTCATCGATGGTCATTGCACGTAGAACGCATCGTCGGCGAAACCCTTTTAAGATGTGAAAGATCTTGTCAGCCTCGGACAACTTGTGTTGGTCTTCTGCCACAAGGCTATAGCACGTGCTGAATATAGGTCAAGTATGGCTTAGTTGACGTCTGAGTACGTATGGCCGATTGTTTCCGAGAAGCAAGCTCTTGTCCAAGTGGTTTGTAGAAAAGGTCGCGGAGCTGTTGTTTGAGCGTGTTCCAGGTGGTTAACTCGTGCTAATACTCGTGCTCATGTATATCAAACCAGACACAAAGATTTCTGACAAGGTAATCACATTCACACACATAACGGTTGGATCCGAGTAATATTGCTTGCCTATGCGACCGTACATGCTGAGCCACTTGCCCACATAGATGTTGCTTTCCGCCAAAAAGGTAACAGGTCCGCGATTACGGGATTGCGTTACGGCGACAGACAGTTGTTGCCGGTGATGTTATAGTTGGTGGAGGTGCGTCTTCAGCCGGAGCCATGGTAGTGGACTGCGATAGGCGTCCACTGTGGAGTTCCGTCGTCAAAACAAAGTACTCCGCAGCTCTGCCAAAACATTGTGCCATACCACCGTGTCGATCGCAAGCCACAGTACAGTTGTTGTTGTTCTTCTTGTTGTTGTTGTTTTTCTGTTTTTGTTGTTGTTGTTGCTCACCTTTTACCTGTCGCGCATACCCAATGTGGGGTATTGACCAAGTATCGAGTGGTTTTATAAAATAGTATGAAGCTTTAGAATAATGGGGGTTATATATTAGAAAGTTACCAGATTACATAGAAAATTATCGTTCTTCATGTAACACCGTCACCTTCGTCCTAGACGCCATTCAGGGGGTATCGCACTATGCACTGTTAACGGCACAGAAAAGCACGCAACATTATTATTTTCTTGCGTGGTGATTCCATGGCACTTTTTATTTCCTGTCAGCCATATGACAGTATAATGAGTTACTTTTCCCTGTTGCCCGTAGCTATTTAACTTTTTCTCCCTATGTAAAGGATGCTCGCCGGAATCACAATTCTTACTTGGAAACACTAGGCGCCTTCTTTAACTGTACACATTAATAGTTAGCCGTCACCTATTTACAAGGTTTCCCTAAATACTGTAAGAATATAAACACTCTTGCTCATGGAATATTCATTTACTTAGTTTATACCATTACTATTACACCTTTGCATTGCTACTGATTATGTTGCTATACCAAAAATTTGTATTTGTAACCTAAATTATTTATATATATCTCATTTATCCCGTATATACATAATTAGTCGCGAAGGCCTATAGCCAGTAAACGACTACGTTCGTTGCAACTACTAGAACAGTCATGACACCGGTTAACTCCTGACGCGGGAAGTCAGCGGGTAAGATGCATCTAGGGAAGAATTGCCGAAGCACACCACACTGCCCTACCGCATTCATCTACGGCGTTATGAAGGCGTTGCCATTGCCTACACCCAAGGCGTGCCTGACAGGCTCGAGAATACTCGATGGCGGACCATCAACATGCGATAAATGACGATAATTGGATTAATGAATGGGGAACGATAGAAGTGTCGGTTGTGTTGGAAGCCGGTAGTTCGGCAGTTAAGCACATTGGATTCAAGGCTTAACTGTGAAGCTCTTCAAGCTATCGTTGATTTTTGCGGCCTGTAATAAAACCATCATACGTTTAACGGGTATGTGCCAGGACAGCCTACAAGAAAAGAATTATCATAAACGTGTATGTGCCACATAAATTGGGGAAATCTCACTGCTAACCGCTGGTTAACTAAAAATGAAGGCAACAGTTAGGTTAACAAATGGGTGCGAAGAGACAGCGGGTAACCCTAACGCAGCAACTGTTCCGCACGAGGCCACGGGATTGAAACCTGCAAACCCATTATATGCATAGCATTTCCCACAACCTGAAAAAGATAGCGAGTAGGCACGGTGTGCCAATTGTGTTCTCCGCCTTATGTAAGCTAGCTGGGCTTTGTCCTAGATTATTCTCTAGCGAGAAGAGATCCAGTGCTTGCGGAAAGAAACATGCGTTTGTGTATGTGAAATTTGCGACTGTCATCGTTTCTACGAAGTACCGCTGTCTTGTGGTATATGTTACGTATGTCATACGGGACGTTGTGTGAACGACCGTGCAAGAAAACATGAGCTTTCACTTAGAAATAATGGGATCACGCATTTGCCCACAAGCTGCAAAGCTTGCAAGGGCTGACCGATTTTTTAAGAGAGTAGGATTTTGGCTCGAAGTGCTGATACCACAGCCCGTGAACTGATAGAAGCCTTTTATATCGCTGCAAGAGGTACACTTGTGTTAGTGATACACCAATATTATTATTTCGTAATGAGCGGGATTTTTTGCGTGGCCTGCCGTAAGATGTTTGGATCTGACCTTGTTGATTCATTGATTTGTGGGGTTTAACGTCCCAAAACCACCATATGATTATGAGAGACGCCGTAGTGGAGGACTCCGGAAATTTTGACCACCTGGGGTTCTTTAACGTGCAAAAGTAGTTCGTGAGGCATGCAGCGAGCATGTGCGTTATTTGCTTAAGCATAATATTCGTCATTTACTTTCAGGCTGTGATCTTTCAGTACAAGTCAGGAAAGTTTTTTCGTCGGCAAAAAACGTGGAACTTATACTCCTTCACTAAATATGTCTTTTGCCTCTAGAAGTCCGTAGTAACTGAACAATGTTACAATCACAGAACGCTCCAGAATCAAAAGATGGCGCACGAACACTTCTTCTGGGGTATCAGATCAGTACAAAGAAAGAACATATCACGCCTGTCTCAATTTCTATGGGAAACTAGTGGCTCTCTCTAAATGTTTACATTGTTTTTAACAATGTATCGCCTAATCACGGGAAACTTGTAAAGAAGAATTATTCCTTACCACAATTGTTTGGTATTAGTGTTTTTCCCTGTTGTCGTTACTAATGACAATCCGCCACTATCCAGAAAAGTATTATTCTCGTCGAGCTTCACGTATTCTGACGGAGATAAAGCAGTGCAACCAATGAGTATTTATGCAGACCAGAAATATATACGAGAGATGGTATATGGAGGGATGGTGAAGATGAAAGTCAGTCATATGTTGTGTTAACAATATATGTGAGGTGAAGTTACCTAAATTCCGACCCTCAGTGATATCCCGAGAAAGGCACTGCAGGCCATTCAATTTTTAGATGTGAAGCAGCTCTTTGACTAGCCTGTGTAACGCTGTCCCTCCGTCCGCACCGCTGCCTTCGCCTCAAGTGTTGGAGCGGTGCGGCGAGGGGAGCAGTGTGGACGTCAGTGTTGACATTGCCCTTCGCGTTCGTGAATGGCGACTTCCACACCGACGAGGCGCGAGCCAAGGAAGCCGAAGGCAAGCGTCGGAAGTGGAACACCAACGACACCGACGAGGTGCGAGTCATCAACACTGATCACGTTCGAGAATACAGACGGCACACATGTAACACCAAATGAGACTTAAGCCAAAGAAGCCGAGCGCAAGCGTCTTCAACTCGTCCCGCCTCCCCATGTATTTTCGTTTCAAACAAACATTTATTCAAGTAAACGCTACACCGAGTTTCGCTTCAAACTGTTTTTCCTGCACCCGCGTCGACGCCCGTTTCAACCGGGTCAACGCCGTGCGCACCGATGCTGCTTAGCATCCGGGTTCCCTTCGGGGCGATGGTTCATAGTTTTTTTTTTGGAAAGTAAGTTTCTTGTCACTATTCATTTTCTCAATTTGCATTTTCGCAGGACTAGTTGAACACCATTCTCATACATCTTCTTCATTCAACTTACGCATGGAAGCAACGTTCTGTGCCCATAAACATTTCTTGTTTTTTTTTATTTAGGCTTTTCAAGCTAACTACAGGCAGTTTTCAAATATGCCGACGCGCACAGTGAAAACTTGTCGGAATGCACGCTGCTGACTATTGCATGAAGTAAGTCAGAGTTATCTATGAGTGCCACTTTATTGCTTAGTTAGGTATATTGAAATGTTTTGCCCCACTTATTGCTTCAAAAATTGGTTAGTAAATTTTACCGAATCGATCAATGAAGCAGAAAGTGTGGGACTTGCTCTATGAATAGTCAGCAAGATGCATTTGGGCGCGTCGTCACAGTGATCATACATTGGGCGCGTCGGCATATTTTTAAGCTCTGGCTAGAGTTAGGTGGGGCACTTTTTCAGTATTTTAGTCTGTGTACCTTGAGAAATTCACCAACTAACGTGACTTCACGCTTGTCGAGAGCCCTTACAAGCCAAAAAGAAAACCCAAGAACAGAGCCCCGGCTGCTGACCTGATAGCCGAAGTGGCGCGTGTCCCAGTCTGCGAGCAGCGCTGTGGTGGCCAGCAGGCCGGCTCAGGTCAACGGGCCCATAAGCAGAGCAGCCAGCTGCTTTAGCGGAAAAAAGACGTGTAGCAGGAAGGAAGCCACGAAAGCTGGGGCCAGGAGGTCCACCAGCGAGATGTGCTCTTTGGCCACGGTCCAGGCGAGTGTGGGGCTAGCCAGCAGCAGCAAGCCGAGGAGACCAAGTGGTAGCGCCCAGCGCCTCAAGAGCACCTCGGCTGGCACCAGCGCCAGCAGAACCAGCACCGCGAGCGCTGCCAGCAACGCCGCGCTAAGCACCACGAACCGCCATAGGTCCTGAGCGAAGTCCGGCGTCCCCGTAACGTTAGGACGGTGTTAGTCTCTTGACAGCTATGAGGAAGCGTTCTAGGTTTTGCTAAAGATTGTTGCTGCGATATCACCAGGGCAAAAAGGACGCTGTTAAAAAGCCCAACTAGCTCGGCGGACCTTGCTAGCACGTCTTTAGCACTTGCTTTGTGCCTTACTTTATCATATTCCTCACTGTCTTACAGTTTGCCTGGTATGTGCTAAGACATTTGAAGAGGTTCAACGAGCTTCGTAATGAAAGCATACCACCACGGGGTCACATTGACAACATCTAAATGAGGTGCATAGCAGTGAAATCCAGTTAGTTTCAACTATATTCAACCTTTTCTGACTCCCACATTTCCACAAAAGTTGGTTGAATTATGTACCACAGTACATTCTTCACACTGAACCAATAGGTCCTAGCCGTAGACTTTACTGCAGGAACTAAAATTATGCCAAATTAACTTAGTTTGCTATGTATAGTCATATGCGTACGCGGTTTCAAGTAAAGTTCAACAAAGATGTGCGGCTACTCGAATAAAAATACGTGCATATGCACGTTTGCTGGCGTCAAATTTGAACACGTGGCAATAACACTGAGTCAGTCGCAAGCCTCGACACAGCTCACACACGAAAATAAACTTCTTCGACTTTCTCCTAGTAGACGCCTTCCTTCTAGACTATGCACTGTTAAAACGTCAGTGAAAGCCACACAATGACAATTCCTGACGGTAAAAGTGCCGACCAGGTGCGTCTCTCAGGCCACAGTAGGAGGAGGGTGGTAACGCTTGAGCCTTGGTACACGGAAGACGTGACGGCATAACGGTGGCGACATTGTTGTGAGATTGTCCGGGATGATTTCGTACGTAACGCCTGTTACTTGTCGAAGAACGCAGTGTGGGTCCGTGAAACGAGAATGTAGCTTCTCAGAAAGGCCGGCACATCGCGTTGAGGACCATAGAAAAACGAGGACAGCCACTTGAAGTCGTTCATCGAAATGTTGTTCATCGTAACGGTGCTTTTGTCTTTGTTTGGAAGTCGTCAGTTTGTGGCGGGTAAGTCAGTGCGAGCAATAGCATCGTGAGCGTATTTTGTGTTCGACTTCCAGAAGCCGACAGGAACGTATCTAATGGCAACGTTGGTTCGCGTCCAAGCCATAGGTAAAACGGCAAGTATGCAGCAATTTCTTGCCGGGAGGAGTTATACATGCTGTCATAGTCGAGAACATGAGCCTACATTCTTGAGACTGTTATTTTCAGGAATTCAGGCAGCCGCCGTCACAATTTGTCCTCCTTCTTCTGCACATCTGCAGGAATATTGCCATCCCATGCTGTTCCCCGTACCCAGAGGCTTTGACACATTATTTTTGCGCTGATAGTAGTGGGAACGGGGAAACCATACAGATCAAAAATGCTTGCTTAGGTCTGAAGTAAAAATCGGTTTGTGCCCTTCTGACTTGCCAGAACTCTAATCAGGGTAGACATCTCAACTCATTGTATCGGTCCTCTATTCTACAGGAACAACCTTTGTGGGCCCTTAGGGACGTCTCCGTGTCAGCAAACGATGTCATCAAAACTGTATTATTCGATCGCCATTTTCTGAGGTTCATGCTTCAGAGCTCCCATGCACGCTGCGCTTCCTTGCATATTTGCTCTGCCTTTTCTACTCTGTCAGCACATTAACAAAGTCATCGACATACAGGTTGTAACTAAGGATCTGAAAGGTGCAGGAAACATTTTCTTCGACACCCTTTGAATGATGAGGTAAGTAGCTGCGAGGAGGATCGGGCTGCACGTTGCACTGAATTGTACCCTTGTCACCCAGTATACTTCCATTGGCGTAGCCTTTTGCCTTGCTTTGGTGTACTTCAATACCGTAGAGTGCAAAGGGCGTCGCGCGAGCCTTTTCAGCCAGCTCAATTGGGAGAAAAGCTTTTTCTACGTCACACATCATGGCCAAATTATGCACTCATAATAAAATTGGAATGTCCGATAAACTTACATTTATGTTACGTTCCATTTCGTTGGCTTCCTCAGCATCTCCGGCATAAAGGTAATTCAGTATTGCCTGGTCATAGTTGCGCATCGTTTCGTCATTTTGCAGTAGTTTCGCAGAGAGTGAGTGAAGCCTGTGCGATGCTGTACTCCTGGTTTCGGTCAGCTACAATATGGTCCCTTTCCATGGGAGCCTGACATCGTCTCGACCGTTCCTGGGGACGATTGCGTCCTCAAATGAACCAAGAATGTCGTCCTTTCTAGTGGTGGGCGGGGCGTCATCAACAATGCTAAAGTGTTCCAGCTCCCAGGATGATCTAAGTTGACCAGAAATGTCGTCTGGCTTTTAGTTCACGCCAGCGCTTGCTAGGTGCATCGAGGCAGACAATGTTGTGTCGATGCCCTGCAGCACATATCCAGACAGTGTCTCTGCGGCTAAGAGGATCTCGTTGAAGGGCTTGACACTACCTGTTTGATGTCCCAGTAGCAATCAGCTCTAACAAGCAGCTCAATTCAAACTCCAGGCTGGTAGCTGTCAGGTACTGCGTCAGCTGGTTTGAGGCCCTGTTCCTGTGCGAGGTGGGTAACGTGGTCATACGAAGGTGGCAGTAGGTCTACGCTGACCTCGGTATCTCGAGTGCTTTTATGCGGACTCTTATGTTGTTGCGACACTATTTCATCCAGCATTCTAACCAACCACAGCGTCTTTTTTCTAATGGCTTCCGAAAGAATAGAGGCTAAATCTCTCCTCACCCATGACGTGAAGCTTTAAACGATGAAAATCTCCTGTAGTATGAATGTTTTCTGACTGCCATCGTCGAGCAGCATTCGCAGTAAAGGAGACTTATTCCCTCTTTCTGCAAATGCTCGTGTCGTCTCGATAAGTACTCTTGTCTTTCCTCGGGTTTGTTACACCTGTAGCGATGACTGGACTGGGACACCGCTGATGTTGTACCTTCACTTGAGGGAGGCGGCGCTACCCTTTGGTCGAGCTTGCAGAGGCCTGTCGCGTGCCGTCCTGAACACTTCGCACTCTGGAATCACTTCGATGTTCGACCCTTGGCGGCACGGCGATTTCTTTTCGCACAATTGTAACAACGCCGCTTCTTTGACACCAGTGCCCTTTTTTTTGTCTAATAGAATGGCGGTGATACAGCTTTCGGCAGAGTCCCGTTCTTGATCGCATAATATGCGGTGCACCTCACTCACAGTCACCGCTAGAGCAGACGCCGACGGTGTTTGATGGTGGTCTCTAGTGATTGGAGCTTTCTCTTCCATAGCGGTGTCAGGCATCGGTAATACTACGTGCTGGGCTCTGTCTCAGCTCTTTATGTCCGTCCTCGAAAACATAGGAACCACTGCAAGTCATTTTCAAGAACGACTTCTGATGTTTTTCTCCTGTAGAACTTGAGGCCAATGTTTTTTTTCTGAACTGTCAATAAAAGCACAACGTATGTGCTCGAGCCACACCCTATGCCGCGAAACTGCGTACACCCGTCCGCAGTGAATCTTAGAGCGTGCTTACCCTCTCGGTGTCTTGAATATTCTGCACCGGGTGGACCGGAAGCAATCGCAACATGTGCTTCTCAATGATGACCTCGTCTTTTCCAAATCCTTCGGCCAATGTTTTGTTTTTCGTTCACTGAGTTTTGTGGTTTTGTTCACGATTTGTAGTTTCGTTCACTGAGTGGCAGTCCGTTAATAACTGCCGCAGTCTTTCGGGTTAGTTAGCTAGTCAGATAGTGGAATTTGCTGATGGTATTAGCGCTGAGTTTTTGTGAATCGTACACTCGAACTGGTTCCAAAATTTGGTCTATGAGCACAGATCCCCACTTAAGTTCGCCATCTCCAGCTTCGGAAGTCTGGTTGTCAATGACGGCAACTGGACAGCCGGACGGGCCACTATGCTCTGAACAGAACCAGAATGTACATCTCACTCCGAATCGTTAGTTTCTGATTCTAAGTGTTGACCTTGTTTCACATAAGACATCGTTCTTTAGAGATCGCTTAATTTTGGTCTTAATAGCGTTAATTTTTGTTGTTGTTGTTGTTGTTATCGTTGTCATTGTCGTTGTCGTTGTTCTTATTGTCGTCGTCGACATTGTCGTTGTCGTCGTCGTTGTTGTTATTGTTGTTGTTATTGTCATTGTCATTGTTGTTGTTGTTGTTGTTGTTGTTGCTGTTGTTGTTGTTGTGGTTGTTGTTGTTGTTGTTGTTGTGTTGTTGTTGTCAATGCACTCGGTGAGCGAGGCATCGAGTTCCTGTAGCTCAGTCTTCTCAATTTCTCACTTGACTGTATTTAGCTCATTTGCTTCATCTGTAAGATTTTCGAAATGTTCTTCAAGCTCACTGATTGCTGTGGCTGCTGCTTGAGCAAAACGCTGCTCTCTGCGATGATGGCGTCGATGGCCTGTCGAAGGATAGCTTGCTTTTCTTCTGTCGCTTCATGGCGGTTTCCATGACAGCTGGCGGAGTACTCTGAGGTTCCGGCACCAGAAAATATAGCCACTTACTTGCGCTGTAATCATCGTCGGCTGACTCTAATTGAAAAGCGAAATCATCGCCGCACGATAACTAGCAAGTTGGCTGGGCCGCGCGCGCAGGAGCCTAGAAAAAGATCGACTTGAATTGTTGGTGGCAGTTTCAAGACTCGTTTGTTGAAGATGAAGCTTAGAAAAAAAACGCAAAGGTAAATTAGAAAGAAGAAAAAATCGGAGCCGATCCTCCGAAGGCTACTGTGAGAAGTGCGCGGGCGAAAGTCTCTTTGCTCCCGTCAGCTCTCGACCCGTGAATTGGGTGGCGAAGATGAACATGTTCTACGGTGTCTGTACGGCGGGAAGGCACCATGAAGCCTTCGGAATTCTTAACATCCCACGCATCGCACGGCCGAGCTAGACTGCTTCTGCGCGCGCTTCTTTCTTTACGGCCTGCTCAGCAATCGCGAATGCAATGCGGTGTTTACGACTACTTTTCGCCGCACGTCGGCAGCGGCGCTGCGACCCGGACCTGGCAGCTCCTGCACCGCACACACGGCACAAGAGAGTTACTATGTGCGAAATTATCGAATGGAGGTTCTCGACTGATAGTGGGAATATTCAAGAAGTCCGGGCTAAAGAAAGGATCTTCTCCTTGAAAAATGATAAAAAAACTTTAATGTTATCACACGGCTCACCGCATAATGTAGGTGTGCTTGTGCTGAGGGATAATACAAGCTGAAAAAACTAAAAAAATGCGGAAGAATCAGCTAACGCGGCGTAATGCTGGAGAACTAAAGCTGTTGCAACAATCAAAGAGGGAGAGATAACCAATGCTGCGCCTGTTCTGAGAGCCAAGAACAACCAATACTTTTGACCCTTGGCCTTGTTGGACAACGTGTCGCAGTGCTCCTTTACATAAATGATGAGCACGCCTCCCTTTGGCAAGCTATTTTCTGTTTATTTTCGAAATACACTTGGAGTGGTTTTTGTGGCTTAAAGCCGCGGTCTGCAGCTTGACAGCTTCTTGAAACACGTACATGAGTTGTATCTATAATGATAAAAAAATAACTGCATACAGGGAGAAAGAAAATAAAAAAAATAAAGAGGACCCATGCTGCTGAATAACCCCTTCGGACGGCACGCCCTGAAAGTGGCAATGTGTATTATTCAAAGTGTTAGCATCACCTGGAAACATTATTTGCGGGGACACCAAGCTCTTTTTCGTTCATTTGTACTGCTAGCTACATAAATGAAGAATGCGAAAAACGCAGCTGCTTACGCTCGCAAGCCGCTTGCCCCGGAACTAAAACTGTCTGGTGCAACTCAGTTCTGCACTATCCTTCAAGTTCGTGGAAGAACATGCTTAGGAAGGAAAATTGAGAACGTTCCAACTTTTTCGCAAGTAAGAAGCTTCTTTTTTCAGAAATCTGTATGAATTATCTGGTGGCTCAGTGAGAAAACAGGTTGTTGTAAATTTCCCTTAGTCTCTTTTGTGGCTTGCTTTATTTTGGGATTAGACCAACTCGACTTCATTTTCTGCGTGCTTTCTCAGTGTTCAGTCTGCCGTGATTTTTTGACCCGAAAAGACGGTTGTACAACGTTCAGTACGCCCACTACGTGCATGAATACATAGTACTAGTGTGAAAGTGCATTACTGTGTTCCGAATTGCAAGTATCGTTCAAAAAAAACACCCGATGTTTCTTTTCACCTATTCCCAAGCAATGCTGAGCTATGCGCTAAATGACAAAAAAATATTGCGAGAGACAACCTCGTCAACAACGACCAGTCTGCATCGGCTGTCGTATGCAGCCGACACTTCTGCGGTGAAGACTATATGTGCCTGCGTGCCGCATCAGAAAACTTCTTCCTGACTCCGCGCCTACTCTTTGTGAGAACTATCTATCCTGCTTGATTCGAAGTGCAAAGAAGCCTCGCAAAAAACCTGCTTCATGGGGGACGCGGGTCTTGCAGTAGTAAAAAAGGCAAAAAAAAGCAGTTTAAAAAAACGCATGTGTCTGCGGGCCGCATCAGAAAACTTCTTCCTGACTCCGCACCTTATCTCTTCGAAGACTACACTTCCTTGTTTTTACTTGTCTTTCAGCGCGTTGTGAGCGAATACCCACACCCGAAATCATGTGGCAGCGTTGAGCACGCTGCACAGAGCGGCGAAGGAGGGTCAGTGTCACAGCGCCCCGCTCAAAGCAGCAGCGCGAGGCATACACTGCACGCGATGCGAAGGCGGTAAGAAACGAGTGCGGAGATGCAGTCTAGCCCGGCCATACGCATCGGGCCATGGTTCTCGCTGTGACCGCCACGCTGCAGCACATAATTACGGCTGCTGGCTTCATTCGGGCAACGAAACCTGACGAAGGAAAATAAGCAGCCATTGCTCTAGCCTACGCCACAACCCAAGTATCCTGCATCGTCAGTGAATATATGAATGTCATCATCAACTTTACCAAAGACGTGATTTCACAACCAGCACACAGCATTTACATAAGTACACCACTGTTGAGTCGCCGCCATGTTGAGATCATCTAGGCTACGGGGCACATGGGGCTCCCAGGAAACGAACACGCTTAGGACGCCACCCGAGCTTTTGTCTTCCGGGCG